CTACAGTTTCCAGATCCCTCATGTCCAGATAAGGGCGCAGTTGGTGTACCGACTGAAGCTGGTAACAGGCTTTCCTGACCGTCGCACTCACCTGACTAGTCATGTGAAGCGACGAGTCTAGGAGTACCCCCAAACTGTGAACACAGTCCTTAGAGGAGAATGTGACTCTGTCCAGGACTGGAGACTGTATTCCCAAACCTGGTTTCGGACCTGTGACTGTTAGTACCTCCATTTTGTCTGGATTTAACTTCAATCCTCATCCAATCCTTTTTCCTCATCCAATCCATTACCGCTCTGAGACAGTCATTGAGAGGAGAGATGCCATCTGAAGTCTGAGTCAATGATCTGGTCACGGAGATGTATATCTGGGTGTCATCAGCGTACTGATGACACCGCGCTCCATGCCTCTGAATGATCTCCCCCAACGGCTTCATGTAGATGTTAAAGAAACTCTTGAGGCCACTTTTTTCTGCCTCTTTGTCTCTGATTCTGGAAGGGAAACAGCCGCATTACTTTTTGTTGTTTTGTTGTTTTTTATGGTACATTTTTTTTATTTATTAACTTGCAAGACAGACAACAACCAGGTAATGAGCAGAGGTAACAGGAACTCTTTTTCTCTCCCTTCACCCTTTTTCTTTTTCTTTTTCTTTTCTGTCTTTTTTTTTTTTTTTTTTTTTTTGGAGGATGGGGCAAAATAAACATGTAGGGAAAGCAAAATGATCATTGTTAAATTGTTTTGGTCAAATTTTAGGAAAGTTATATTTTTGGACAACAATATACAGAATCCCTGTAGCTCAGCTGGGGGGGGGGGGGTATTGCTGAGGAATGTATAATCCACAAAGTTAGCTTTCCAAGCTCCAAGCTGGAATATTTTTATCCTGATTCTCCACCATTCATTGCACCTGATGTGGTCATGACTGAAAAGGGAATCCATAGGCTGCATCTGTGCTGCAAAAATAATGCAGTTTGATTCCCCTTTGACTGTCATGGCTCCATCCAATGGAAAACTTGGATTTGTAGTTTGTTGTGACACCAGATGGAAAAGATTAACTATTTCACAAAACTATAAATCCCAGAATTCCATAGCATTGAGTTAAAGTCAGTCAAACTGCTTTATTTCTGCAGTGTAGCTGCATCCTCAGTTAAATATGAACCCAAAGAGCAAAATGGGTGCTTTTTTTGTAACTGTATTATTTGAAGTTTTACTAAAGCCAATAGTAAAGCCTCCATAAGATTCAAAGTTATATTACTATGAGAAATACTATCATAAGTGTTATCCTTACCAAGCAATATAGGTAGACTCTTTTGCCTATCTTTGCCTTTACAAAAAATAATAATATTCTACCAAAATGATGCCAAGTGGCACTGTGACAACAATGTTAAAAATGCAGTGGAGGCAAGAGTGAATCGGGTAAAAAGAGATAATATCAGGATGGTGTCAAAATCCAGTGGTTATGTGCTCTTAATATCAAAGACAGATTCCAAGCAGTGATACACTGGAAGAGTACTTCACTGGTCCATTGGAGAATGCCTGCAGGCTAGTGCTAAGAATATCTTAAGCATGTTGCCCTTGGTTTTAGTTTCAGGGATAATTTTAGAAAGCATATGTCTAGGTCTTTCATTTCCACACTAGCACTGCTGGTAACATGTGTCCAACAATATCTGACTCTTTCTTGGCCAAATTTTCTCATCATCATTACTGACATTCAATACCTTTGCTTGAATGCTGGTTACTACTTTTAGTGACGGGAAAGCTACAGTGCTTTGCATGACACTCACAGTTCTTCTAATGCAAGCTGATAAGAATAGATGTTTATACAGGATGCATTGCTTGCAGATGGCATGACTCCTTGCTGTTTCCATTTGCAGTGAAAAATACTGTCTCTGATCTGAATGTGCTTGGCTTGGGGGCTTTTCAACAAAAGAAAATCCGTAGTAGAAAATCAAATATATAAATGGTTGTTAGAAATATGTATAAGACCAAACCAATGCTACATGAAACAACTACAAAACAGAGCTTGGGAAAATTGCTCAATTATTTTAGTTACTATTCCATTTCCACTGC